TGTGCTGCCTTTAAAATAGTATCACTTAACCCTTGTATTATGTTAACCCTTGTATTATGTTGAAAAAAAATCACATTGATTATGTTGCGGGTCATTTTGACCCGTACTGTGTAAATGCACTCAAAACAGTCAAGAAAACAGGTTAAACCAACAACAACTTTATTTTGGGTTATATAAATATTTAGAAAAGTGACATACAATACATTTTTAATTCCAACGCTATATTTAAGAAATATTTAGTCTAATGTTCTTGTCCTCCTCTCGGGTCAAAATGACAATTCTTCCCTCCTTCTTTCCTCCTGCCATGCTTTCTCCTTCCTTTTTCTCATCCTGTTTTCCTTCTCTCAGTTCATCCTCCTCTATTCCCTTCTTTTCTCTTCCTTCCTTCCTTCCTTTCTCCCTTCTTTCGTTCCTACTTTCCTTCCTTCCTCCCTTCCTCTTTCCTTGACCAAAGATTCGTCCTCTGAATCTTCCTTATCGTAGGAAAATTGACAATCTGGATCAGCAATAACATTGTCCTCTGTCTCTGAAAAATCCTGTTTCTGAAATCTCTTCCTCCACATCATTATCCCAGTTAAAAATCTGTGATAAAGCCTCCTCAGATGTCAACCTTCTGGAGCTCATTTTTGGTGAGTTTGTCTAAAGCCTAGCGCACATCAACAGAGTAACTGGAGACAACTAGTTGCAAGGCGGCTTTTGGCAACTGAGAGGAGATGATGGAGATGATCAGTTGAAATCGGTCGATGTGCGCGCTCTTACAACTGGCACTGGCGCTCTTACAACTTTTTCGGCAACTAGTTGTCCTCAGATCCGGAGATATGACCCGATGTGCGCCCTCCAACAACATGTGTGTATTGCGTGTATTGCACGCTCTCTACAGTTTATGCCAGAAAACACACTATAGTTGAGGCCAGTTGCTGTCGATGTACGCGGTGGTATTCCCGAGACTGGCCTGTACTAGGAGTTGCCCGTTTTTGCCAGATTGTCGATGTGTGCGGGGCAGCAACTCAAAGGCGACGGATATATTCAGTTGCCAGTCCGATGTACGCTAGGCAAAAGAGATGACATGAGAACAGTGACAAGGGCAAGTGTGAGAAAGTTCCATCTCTTTACACACCTGGCTCTGGCTCTCAGAGGCAATCAAAATACAATGTCAAAGAGACATGTTTATTTGGATCTGAACAACTATTTACCCACATTAAAGCGTCAGGGTCAAAATGACCCGCAACATCATCTTTGTATACAAACTCTGCACAGACATTCCACTACACATCAAAGTGTCCAGATTTTATACACCAGTTCATGACCCTAGATGAGGAAAAGTCACCAAATTTCAGCAAGAAAAAGAAAGGATAACCAGTACTTTGATCAACACAAAAGCTGAAATGGGTCAAATTGACCCTTAACATAATACAAGGGTTAAGGGTCAATTTGACCCATTTCAGTTTTTGAGTTGATCAAAGTACTGGTTATCCTTTCTTTTTCTTGCTGAAATTTGGTGACTTTTCCTCATCTAGGGTCATGAACTGGTGTGTAAAATCTGGACACTTTGATGTGTAGTGGAATGCCTGTGCAGTTTGTATACAAATATGATGTTGCGGGTCATTTTGACCCAGACGCTTTAATGTGAGTAAATAGTTGTTCAGATCCAAAAAAACATGTCTCTTTGACATTGTATTTTGATTGCCTCTGAGACCCAGAGCCAGGTGTGTGATGAGAGAGAGCACTTTCTCACACTTGTCCTTGTCACTGTTCTCATGTCATCTCTTTTGCCTAACGTACATCGTACTGGCAACTCATTATATCCGTCGCATATGAGTTGCTGCCTTGCACACATCGACAATCTGGCGAAAACAGGCAACTCCTGTAGCAGACCAGTCTCGGGAATAACAGCGCGTACATCGACAGCAACTGGCATCAACTACAGTGTGTTTTCTGACATAAACTGTAGAGGTCGTGCAATACACGCAATACACACATGTTGTTGGCGCACATCGGTGATATCTCCGGATCGGAGTACGACTAGTTGCCGAAAATTAGAACACGGGCAACTAACTGAATCTGGAGATCGACAGTTTATATCCAGTTGTAAGAGCGCTCACATCGACCGATTTCAACTGATCATCTCCATCATCTACTCTGTCGCCAAAAGCCGCCTTCAACTAGTTGTCTCCAGTTACTCTGTCGATGTGTGCTAGGCTTTAGACAAACTCACCAAAAATGAGCTCCAGAAGGATGACATCTGAGGAGGCTTTATCACAGATTTTTAACTGGGATAATGATGTAGAGGAAGAGATTTCAGAAACAGAGGATTCTTCAGAGACAGAGGACAATGTTATTGCTGATCCAGATTGTCAATTTTCCTACGATAAGGAGGATTCAGAGGACGAATCTTTGGTCAAGGAAAGAGGAAGGGAGGAAGGAAGAAAGGAAAGAAGGGAGAAAGGAAGGAAGAGAAAAGAAGATGAACAGAGAGAAGGAAAACAGGATGAGAAAAAGGAAGGAGAAAGCATGGCAGGAGGAAAGAATTGTCATTTTGACCCGAGAGGAGAACAAGAGGATTAGACTAAATATTTCTTAAATATAGCGGTGGAATTAAAAATGTATTGTTTGTCACTTTTCTAAATATTTATATAACCTAAAATAAAGTTGTTATTGGTTTAACCTATTTTCTTGACTGTTTTGAGTGCATTTACACAGTAAGGGTCAAAATGACCCGCAACATAATCAATGTCATTTTTTTTTCAACATAACACAAGGGTTAAACACAAAAACACGTTATTCCCTATTCCTCGTCTTTGGACATACATTGCACTGTTGGCACACTTCTGACAACGACACCGCAACAAGCACTTGAAGATGGATGTGGCACAGGAAAAAAAACTGCTTGGCTTTGATCCAAACAAACATGTACGCAAAATATAATGGGAAATCTGGATGTATCATATGTTTATCAAGTAACATGGATATAAATTGATGATCACAAATGAAACCAACTCTGCTGAAACTTGAAACACTTTTTGATTTGTAACAAAAAAACATTGCTTTCTCGTAACATAACAACAAAATTATATCATTGTCACAAATCTGTGGGGATGGAAAAATACATTCTGGAAGGGAATATGACCAGAATATCACAAAATAATCAAATATAACAAATGATACATAGATTATTTAGGTTACTCATACTCCTAGACTAGTATGTAATGAATTCCAGAGGATTGAAAATGAACTTGCATCAGTTCAAAGAGAGCAGCCTTTACAAAAAATCCAAAAACACATGAAAAATGCTTAGAAATAGACAAGAAAGACCGTACCTGGTCTTTTTGTCTGTTTTTGAACCACTTGGCTCATATGAAAAGGGGGAGGGAGTCCTGGGAAAACTGAGCATGCTTGCGACAAGTGTCTGTTTTCAAAACGTAACCAGGCAACGGGCCCCGGTCAGGGCCTTTGCTCTGACGCTTATCATGTATCTGCATTCAGGAGATACTGATAGTGCACCAGCTTTTGTTTGTCTTGGGTTAGTGTTTTTCCTCCTAAACTCTTTCTCCCATAAGAGTGTGGAATACCAGGACAAGGCAAGCTTTGTACTGAACCGTTCGGTAAAGGGGGATACTGTGAATAACATAAAAAAGGTACAATGTGAGGGCACCAACAAAGATATTGGGGAGACTTCCATCCATTGACCAAGTTATTCCAAGTTATTGTGCTTATCGTTGACATTTAAAAGTAACACAGATAATGAAAAAAACTAGATAACAAATACTAAATTTTGGTTGCTAATCCAAACAGTACAGCACCCTTAAGCTTGTCTTCACATCTAAGCTTAAGATGTTTTTGTCATTAAACAAAAGGTTAATGCAATGCTGAACCACATCAGAACAAAATGTTAAGTCTGTAAAATATTGTTCTTGTCTGCTGAAGTGAAACAGCATCAAAATAACAGGGCCATGATACCATTAAGATGGTAATGAGCCTCCGAGCGTACACAACCATGTGAATCTGAGACAAAAGACCACTACATAATCATATACCACCAGTTCCCCTTTTTTATTGGAGGGAATTCAGGGACACAAAACAAAAGCTGTCCTCATAACAAAAGCTTTTTACTAATTAGCACACAGGAATGCCCGTCCCACTGTCCTGGACTTTATGGTCTATGGCTGCCTATCTGACCATTGAATGTAAAACCTATGGGGCAGAAATGTGGACACACTGTAAAAAACTTTCACATCATTGTTCACAGTGGGAGGAGCGATTGGATATAGTTTCAGTCTAAATTCCAGGGCAAGAGACAGCCCCGCCCGGATCACAGGAGATGAGGGTTAACCTATTCCAGCCAAAAGAAAATGATTATCCAACTTTGACGTGTTCGTCTTAGTCTACGGTCTGTTTAACAGGTTATACAAATACATCACTAACACCAACTAGTCTAATGTTGTATGGGTGTATTTCTGAAGATGCTCGTTCAATTGAATTTCTAATGACGGGTCCGTAGTCATTTGTCATAAATCCATGAGGCAGATGGGAACGAGCGGTTCTTCCAAATCCAGAAGTGTATGTAAGAACTATGTACAGACAGCAAAACATCACGCTAAAAAAAAGAGATTTTCAAGAAAAAAATTGTCAACTTAAGAGTTTTGAATAAACACTCGGCTATCATAGACTTTCTGCCGACAACCAAATCCCAAACATATGACGGTGAAATGATTTGGGCTACTTACAACACCTCGGTTGGTCTTTGTTTTGGCCATTTGACATGTGACTTTTTCTCCAAGACTATGTTCTATAACTCACATTTACTAATAAAAAACACAAAATATGAAACGACTAAAACATCAGCATAAATGAATAAAAGCAGATGTCATTCTCACAACATCAGATCGTCATGAATCAACAGTTCAGTCTGGAGTAGCTCGTCTCGGCGTCAGCACAAGAGGCTAAATTAGCCGCGGGTTGGTATAACTAACTAGCCAAAAGTCTCTGTTTTACAAACTTACCCATAACAAGGGATAAGAACAGGCAGCAGGCTCGTACTGTCTTTAAGGCCATCTCCGCGTCTGTTACTCCAGGACGAGTTCACGAACTTGATCGTATAAGTTTGTTAGAAATAGTGAGCAGCGGAGAGTCGCCAGAAGCATCCACACTGCGCTCCTCTGACTGAGCCCTGTGCACCTGCACCATTGGGGCGCGGGCACGGGCTCAGGAGCTACGGGAGCGCGCACTCCACCCACGTGACGCGCCATCTCTGACCTGAGGTTACAGTGACATCTGGTGGTAGTGTTTGGTAGTGTCCTCGATCTCTTAACAGTTTGGTTCAATCACTAGTTTTCACATGTGATTTAAGTGAAAAAGAGGACCACCCTCACTCAGCTCTCAATACACAGCGTCAAATAGTGACTCACAGGGATTTGCTGTATGCAAAAGAGAAAATGTTTTCTAACAACTTTACTCAGAGGAAAATCTTTTACAAATCAGGATTTATTAACATTCTAGAAAAGTATTTAGAGATATATAGGAGAATTTTCTACTCCCGGGTGGATCATCAAGACTATTGGTCCTCTCAATTGTCAATCATGCTGGTGATACATGCTTGTCAAACAAGACCAGAGTTTTGTTCAAAAAGTGGAGGGCAGTTTATTCCTATATACTGTAGCTTAAGTGAATGTTAAAGTCCATTATTGTATTGCTACAATCATACCATATTGATTAATAATCTCCACCATTTAGATAATTAAAAATCAGTTTATTCTATTTTATGTTCATTATGGTTCATAATGCCTAGATTGATACACCAGGGTTACATGAACAATACAGAAATTAAAAAATAATCCCAATTTTATTAATTCATATTTTTTAAGATTGAGTGAGCTCTATTTGAATCAACAATTCCATCAAATTCTACATTAAGTGGCAATTAAAGAGTTAACATGAATTACTTTCAACAAAATCCTCAAAGTGTAGACATAGAATAAATATATAAATCATAGTGGTACAATTACAATTCATCAAATATACAGTACATATGTTTACATGCCAAGGACTAAAACATGTTTTACTCTTTTAAAAAGTGATTACTGCAAAAAACTAACTAATTGTGTAAAAGTGCAAAACTCTTATCAGTAGGAAAAATATGAACGGAAATATATTTTAAATAACATTATTCAGTCATTTTAGAGTTTAGATTTCCTCTCTAGTGTGGAAAACTAATAGTATTGATGGAAGTGTTGGTGCGCTCCCCAGTATCCAATGCGGCGTCGTTGTGCAGCCGCCCACAGATGTTGCTTCATGATGTGGTGTGGCACAGGCTTGAGGCCAGGTCTTGACATATGGTGTGGTTTTGGAAATATGTGAGCACTACCTTTTGCCATTTTATTGGAATGCCAATGAGGAAAATCGTTCACCTATGAAACAAGTAAATACATTTGCATTATCAAAAGAAGCTAGTACATAAGCCACAGGTAAAAGAATGGAAAATGAAATAAAAACCATCAGGGTTAGGGTACCTTGGTATTGCAGTAGTGATTTACTCTTGCGAGAGTGTTATGTGCCGTCTCCTCATCAGAGGATGAACCTGAGTGGTAATCTGACGTTACTCTCTCCAAGGCTTTGGCCACGTTCTTAGCAACTTCCTTTTCATCCTCATCTTTCGACAACATGGCCACAGAAAAGTAAGGCGCATCCTCCTTATATCTAATGAAAAATTAATACCAAATAGATCAAATAATTTAATAATAATCAAATAATTTTTGATAATTCACCTGCAACAGACTTCCCCAGGATCCACCCATAAAGTGAGTTCCTGTGGCAGTTTAAGCTCCTGGTACTCAATGCCACTTTCCTGACAAGCTCTCTGGAGCTCTGGATCCTCCCTGTGAAGACTATTGATCCTTATGCATCTGGAATCAAACATAACATGTCATGTCTTTATATTCCTGTAGGATCTGGTGTATAATGTGGTAAGGCACTAAACTCACCTGTATGCTTGGCCTTTACTGGGATCATCAGGATACCAGTGCCCCTTGAATTTATCTTGGAGCGCGACAGCAAGTCTCTCAACAAAAAGATCAATTTTTGCTGAATTTTGTGTACTTCGTTTTAGATAACATTTCAGAAAGAATATAACAATTGCAATTTCTTTCTTCATTTTTTGAGAATTGTCTTCAGATTCAATAGATTCTGAAAAAAGAACACATAAAAATGCATAGAAAAATACAAGAAATGGTCTTTTTGTCTGTTTTTGAAACACTTGGCTCATATGAGAAAGGGGAGGGATGACTGATGGGCATTTAAATAAGCATGAACAAGACAAAAGAGTTCAATCTAGGATTGATTGATGATTTTTTTTTTTTAGCAAATCGATGAGTGAATAGGGGATTTGTTCAAAATCAAATCTCAAGTGAGGACCCTGGAGAACAGAGATGACTATTTACACATAGTTGTTCGTTAACACATTTTTCTTTAATTTGTAAAACCTGTAATATTGTTTGTGTAAGTATAAAATATAAATAATAGGGTATAAATAAAATAGACCTTCTTTATAAAGAGTTAAAGGAAAATTGTAAAAATTTACAATTTAAAGGCTTTAACCCTGCTCTGGACCAGACTCGCCCCCTGAGCTCAGTCTAAATTGCCAGTGTCTGAGTATTCCTCTGACGTGGCCATGGATGTATTATGTTAAAAGGAAAAAGCCCTCTGATCCATACTGTTCACACTCTTGTTCCAGAAGGCGCGCTGTGACGCATAACTTCCGGGAAGACCATGCCGTCTACATACTGCTACACACACGTTGACATTTTTCCATAAGGAAAATATATTACTAGTATACCAGTAACAACTGCCTTAGTTCTATGGTTGTAAAAGTGAATGGCACAGTTCTCTTAAACATGCGATCGTCTCTGAGGATATTGAATCAAACAAACTATGTGGGAGCATGTGGCTCGTGGTAAAAATAGGAACATATGCCGTCATAAATTCCTATGAATACTTCACAAAGTTATTGACCTACCGTGAATAGTTGTCGCATTCTTGACACAGGGCTTTACTCAAATGATATGTGCCAGAGATCAATGACAAGAGCACGCTCCAGCCTGTCGCGCGCACTCCCGCACACTGAGCAGTTTGAAACACATCTACGGCACGGCACCACGTGACTGTGACGCACGCTCGAAAACAAAACGTCTATGCATTTACTTTTGCGTAATGGAGTGAGATTTGCGTGTTTTACCATGGTTGTACCTTACTGGAGTAGATTTACAAGTATGTCTCAGGTATCTCTAGTATGTTTTCTTCAGTAAGAATGGTAATTTTAGCAACCTCGGTCTTGTCTTGGCTGTTTGAGCAATCTACTGATGCTACAGGCCCATTTCCATTAGTCTCTTTTAACTTTTAAAACAGCAGCTAACCTTCTACAGTCTTGTTTTCGTCCACAGTAACTTCAAAACATTCCAAATAAAAATAGAGTGAGAACCTCAGCATTAGAATGTTTTATATATTGGATTTCTTCAGTATAAAAACATAATAATAAATTCTGAGACCAATATTACACTCTAAATGTGTTGATCTTGTTTTGAACGAAAAATCACACACATTAACTGTGGGAAAAAATGGCAGATAGCAAGGTGACATTGAAAATATATTGATGTTTCATCAAAACCATCAGAATGGTTGTTAGTATTAGATAGCAATATGGCCTACGTGCAGGACTGTACAAGGACTCTACAATGACTCCATGTTATGACTATGATGTGACTGTCTCTTTGTGACACGTATGTCTTTCGATGTGTGACGTGACAATGACTATATAAACTGTGTACTGCCTTTATTCTGTCTGAGGAAAAGAAACAGAGGAAACCAGTGGAACTTGAGAGAAACGTAAATAAACTTCCAGAGTTTGGCACACCACGATCCGTCTCTCTCTGCCTAAATCCTAACAGATTTGGTGGAGAATGCGCGGCTCAGTGTGTGCCATTCTCTGGATTGTTTTGGGGGAGTTTGCTCTGTTTCTTTTCCTCTGCGTGAGAGATCGGCATGCTGTGTCTGGGAGCGGGGATTCCAGCAGGCTGGAAGAGCTGTTCCTGGATGCTTCTTGTCGCTTCTGTCACTTTTGTTTTTTAAATTGAATATTCCGACGCGGAAAAGAGGTTGGCAGACCTCTCGGACAGTCCTTGGAACCGGTTTGACAAGAATAAGGTAAGCAGACACCTTTTTATATGTAAAGTCTGCATAATTGGATATTAGCTAAATTTTGGTGTGTTTTTTGGGGTCTGTCAAACTCTCTAAATTGTATTTTGAAGAAGTCTCGGGGTTAAAGTCCCTTTGAGCCTCGGGGTTAAAGTCCCTTTGAGAAAGTCTCGGGGTTAAAGTCCCTTTGAGCCTCGGGGTTAAAGTCCCTTTGAGAAAGTCTCGGGGTTAAAGTCCCTTTGAGAAAAGCCTCGGGGTTAAAGTCCCTTTGAGAAGAAGCTTCAGGGTTAAAGTCCCTTTGAGAGAAACCATGGTGAATTAAAAGTAATTATAAAAAGGGAAACGTTAAACACTAAAGAGTGCCTTTTGTTACTAGTGTGGAAAGTGATCACTTCTAGATTTGGATGACAAAAGTATAAAGAACAACATAAGTTATATTCGCTTAACAAAGTAATCTTGAAAGTTCTTCTTCTGTGTCTTTCTGCCTGTGTGTGCGCGTCTGTGTGAAAGGAATCCCCCCCCGCCCTCGCTGCTGCTGAGCTGCTGCTCTGATTTAAAGGGGAGCTACTGCTTTAGGACTTTTGGCTTTTCATAGTAGTTATTCCGTTAAATTTGCGAAATTTGCCATTGAACATTGTGTTAGACACAGTTAAACGTTTTTAAACACCATTAGGGAATAGAAGTTTTGAATTGTATGTTTTTGAAACCCAAAGATTAGTACAAAAAGCTTTGCTTTTCTTTTAGATCTGCTGCTTATTTTGTGAGTCCATTATTGTATCTCTGATATATTTCATAGCTGTTTGTGAGAATTTTTTCATGTATTTTTTATTTTAGTTACAAAAGCCGTTTTTCAAACATTTAAATTAGAATCTGTTAAAAGTGATTATTGATTATAGACTTCGTCTAAAAAGAAAGAGAGAATTAGGCTGTAAAAGTATTATATTATTAAGTTAAACTACCCAATTCACCCAATTCACATTCAAGCGGTGACTTTTGTTTTTGTTTTGACTACACGCGTGACCTTGCTGCTGCTCAGAGACATGAGGAGGCAGCTCCGACGCACAATTGAGTTTTATTGAACCAAATCCAGTGTAGCTGGAGCTAAATCTTTTGTTTGATTTCAAGTTTTGTTTTAAATGTTTTTACAAATTAATGTTCATTTTTATAGAGATTTTTCATAATTTCATTTCATGGCGTCTTTCAAGAAACCCAAGGACGCATAGATAATTAATCACACAGTACAAAAGTATATAATACATGTTTTAAAGTTTAAAAGGTTGTTTGTTTTGAGTATAATTGTTGTTTTGATAACTTCTTTAGTTTCTGGTTTTAAATGTCATCATTAGTAAGATAATAAGTAATCTTTATTTACATAGCGCTTGGGAAAGCCAAGAGCGCTTCAAAATTGTTTAGACTTCAGAGAGAAAAACAATCTCATTCACAATCTCTGTTGTTTTTAATTTGGCTATAAGGTTGTTTTCCAGAACCAAGAGCACACACTGTACAGGGTCACTGGACTGCTGGACACTGGACACCAAAGCCCACCCAGCCACAGGTCACAGATCAAAGAGCAAAGGGAAATGCCACCTCTACGCCCCTCCCCCCACTACAGAAGTAAGTGGGAGTGAGACCGGGGCCACAAAGTGGAGGTTTCTGGAGGCAGTGATGGGTGGAGCGTCAGGGAGAGACCTAGAGGCAGTTGAGAGTGTGTCCAGTTGGTTTGCATCACCACAGTGTGACCTTTGACACCTACAGGTGGTTCGTGGAGTCTGGAGAGACAACCCCAAAATTTCACATACACACACACACATACACACACATACACTCACACATTCACATTTACATATAGATACATGAAAAAGCAGAACATGAGAAAAAAGCATTTTAAAAGTTTACTCCAATGTAAACACATATTTTTAATTGTCTATCACTTGAATCAGTATTTTTTGAGACCAGAAATGTTCATTTGAATTCTATATTGTCATGGACTTAATTGACGTCTGTCCTGACACTTTTGATTTGTTGATTTTGTACTGTGTGAAGTAATTACATTGATTAGAATTAGATCTGATAAAAACACAAATTAGAGAAGTAAACTGCGCTTGCTTTTGTCTGAGAGACATTAGCAACAGCATGAATAGAAATTGTGTTAAAGTAGAATCAAAGTGACTTAACCATAGAGAGTAACTACTGCATTACAAGCTGTGTACAGGAACTGAGACACTGCACCATTGACCAGAAGTGCATCCCAAGTGACCTGATGTGCTTCAACTGAAAAGACTGTATCTGGAGATCTGATGTCCAACTGGAGAGACCAAAACTATGGCTTGGACCCTACTGATGTCCAAGATGACCTGACCTGATGACGACTGAGACTCACCCTCAGGGGACCTGAGGACCTGAGGATCTGAGAGAGAAAACTGGGGAGTGATGTTTATATTTTTGAAATCATACATTGATGAGTGCTAAATGAGACAGATACTCATGATTCTTTCTTTTGTTTGTGTTTGTCCCTAGCTTCTGGACATCTGATGATCTATTGGACACAGCCATTTGCAGAACAAGAACCAGCCAATGAAAACGTCTATTGCTGATGCTATTGCTACAACCAGAACCTGTGACCAAATGCAATATACATGTTAAGTATTCAGACATCTGACAGACAAAAACTTTGAAAATGATAAAGTATAAGTATTGTAGCGTTTTAGTAGATGTTAAATAGTAGTAAAAGAGTAGAATTTGACTTCCTTTGTTTTTCATAAACACATTTCCACATAAGCTATAATATTAGAATCAGAGTATTTTAGAGATATTAAAAGTGACAGAAGTCACGAATTAGAAATATGCCTTTGCTCAAGCTGCAGCCGAGCTTTTGAGTTAAAAAATAGTGGAAATATAGAATTAGATAAATGCATCAACCATAGATGCTTTCAAAAATAGAGATTATTTCTAGCCAGTGCTAATATCAAATGGTAAAGGGACCATTTCACAAGCATTTACTTCAAAAGTAGATAAAGTTAATTACAGTTTTATGTACAGTTTTATTAGATACTGCCAAATTCACTTGTGTTCACACATGAGTGAATGTTGACTATGCAAAAAGTCCATATGAGTGTAGCCTAGATTAATGCCTAGATCAATGAGATAGATTAGCACCAAGAGAGATTCAAAAGCATTTTGATGTATTTGTGTATAGCACAAAAACAAAATAGTAGATATTTGGATATCTTTGAGAAGTTTAAAAAGCTGTAGATTCACCAGCACAGATTAGAATCAAACACCATTGTAGAATAATAATAACTGACCCCAACCCCAAACCTGCTAAAGTAGATTAGCTCTTGTAAGGATAGTTCTAATTTGATTAAAGATGTACATTCATCCCAAACTGCCTGACAATAATATCTTTAGATAATAAAAAGTAATAAATCATTGACCACTATAGAAGTGTAAATGTTGACCGTTTGCCTTACTGTGTTCAGTTTTATTCCTGAGAATGAGAATAGACATGGAGCAAAATCCCACTGATAATAAGCCACTGATAATGAGAGTGTAAAACTACAGAGAGATTTATTAGATTAAAATGTATGTTTAAGAATATGGCTCAATAGAAGCAAATATGCAAACATATTTGTAAATAGATTAGAATAGTTTTAAACTATAGTGATAGTGAAAGTAAAGTACACAGTCTAAGATTGAAAAGTGAAAATAATACAGTGAAATAAGTGAAGTGTAAACAATTAGCATTAGAATAAAAGTATAGAGTAATAAAAGTGAAATTAGCTTCTAATTTGAGACTCAGCTCGTTTTTGTCTGTGTTTTGACTGAATCTGCTGAGTTCTTGTGTGTCCAATAGTTTTTGTTTGTTTTATTTTTGTTGGTTTTTATTTTTGATTTGTTTTTTGTTTGTTTATTTACTTTGTTTTTGTTTGTTTTGTGTTTTCCCAGGATAGAGGATAAAATCCACTGATATTGATTTGATGATTATGAGTTTAATGCATACATTTTCTTTGTTTTTTAATAATTTTGTAAAGTTTTTTTTTTTTAGAA